CATTGCAATATGTCAAATCTACTAGAGATCGAATCGGCGCAGAGGTTCTATCGAAGGATGACAGAACTGGAAGCCCAGTTGCACTGTGGAGTGCCAACAAAAGACACAGTAGCCAAAGTAGCAGAGGAGTTCCGAACCTTTCGTGAACTCTTCTCCAAAGTGCTTGGTCTTCTTTGCAAACAAATAAGTGACTGCAGCGTTATTGATAACATCGTGAATAACCACAGACGCAAGGCTCTTCTCTTCCTGGGAGTGCCTGAGGCAGAGAAAGAGGAGTGTTTCGCTACAGTTATTAATCTGCTCCACAAGAAGCTGGGCATGGAAGACGTCACGTCCACTAATTTAACTGTATCCCACAGGATTGGAGGCCTAAGCAAAGACCGTCCCCGCCTTATTCTGGTTCGGTTTTCAACCGAGAGGTTAAAATCTTCCATCTGGAAAGCCAAGTGATCCTTAAAGGGCAGATCTGTCTCAGTCCGGGAGTTCCTAACTAGGACTAGGACAGATGGTGTTTGTCCAAGTTGCGTCAGCACTTTGGTCTGAGAGCCTTGATAGAGGTTGTGATAGAGGCGCCCGATGGTATTCGCCACAAAGTCATATCCACATAGAAACTCTCTATTGGAGAAATACCTGACCTGAACACCAGACGCTCCAGCTGCACCTAGGAAGACTGGTAACTCCTCACGTCGGACCAGTAGTTCCTGAGATTAGTGCGTTCAAACAAACAAACAAACTCTTTAGCTTTATAATATTAGTATAGATATGTATGTATTTAAAAATATATAAGTATGTATGTTTATCAGCAGTCTGGTTACCATAGTACAGGCTCTGCCTAGTTTGGGATTAGACAGCCGTGTGTGAGATGTATGAGATATATTATTATTATATTAATTAACCTGCTTAAGTCAGTGTCAATTACAGTTCTCGCGGTTTGCTTCAACGTAGAGATAGCTTATTTAGTTTGATTAATTCATTTTAAGTAAGCCATGTCATTAGTCTTTATTTATTTAGTATCTATTCCAAAATTTAACAATAACAAACAATTACCTACTCATTTTGATTTATCACAACTAGTCAAAACTGTTTACCATAGATAAAACACTAGGTACCTATCTGTTTAGTTTATACAATACGAGGACGTTTCGTTTCACGCAACTAATGCGACACATGGCCTACATGTTGCGTTGTTGAGCATGATTAATTGTTATGTTTTGTCTCTTTCTTTCTCTTTGTACCTATCTACGTTACAATATTATAAACTGGTGGGGGGGGGGGGGGTGTAGATATGTTAAGCTGCTGAAATAAGTGCATAAGCATAGTTCATTTAATTTTTATTTAATTTTTGTCCGTATTATTGTCCGTATGGTGACAGATTAAAAATACAGAGTGTCACCACCCCTATTCATCCCATGGGTGTCGTAAGAGCCGACTAAAGGAAAAAACTACGTAGAACAACAGCACTGCAGAGAGAGGGAAAACTTGACACAAACCCTATACCAACCCGTATGGCCAGCGTGGTATAGTAGGCTAAAAACTCCATTCTAAGGAGAGGCCTATGTCCAGCAGTGGACTATCAAAGGCTGTTGATGTGATATTAAACGCAGTACAGTCGCTTGAACGATATCTTCTACTTCCAATAGCTTTCTCTGACTATACTGACTCTGTTAATCTCACAGAGGAGCAACTTAATTTTTGCTTTATGGTATCGGCGAGGCAACGAAGAAATTATTACTTATTACCACCGGTTTTCCTTGAGGCAGGAATCGGTGGGGTATGTGTATCACTTTGGCGAGCTGGTTCATTATGTACCGAAGTAAAAACCTGAGCGTCTCAAAAAATTTGTATCAGGTATTGACTATATATCATAATATTACAATTTGCTTGCTTAATGTACACATGCACAGATGCCCGAGAGATTCTAACCCCCCTTCTTTTTGCTTTCAGTAAATAAATAGTTGATTCTCCCTCTAATTAACACTATTCACAAGTGTTTCTATTGTGACATTCTTGTATTATTAATTAGATGATACAATAATTATGAATAAATGCGGGATCTTTAAGCCATATGCTCTTCTTTTTGTCTCTTTTTTTAAGACAACCCTCGCACTAGGAATTAATCAAAAATTCTAAGGTAATTGGCTGACGATTATCGTGTTGACTTGAAGTATTTTAACTATTAATGATATTTTTTTTAAAAGACAACTCCCGCATTAGGAATATCTCCTGTGTCACCCCTGTGACACAGGAGATATTCCTAATGCGGGAGTTGTCTTTCTCTTTCCAAACATACATGAAATGGACACAAAGAACACAACTCAAATCGACAATTTGTGGATCGCACTAAGTGTCGATTTGAAGTAGTTTGAGTAGTAGGAAGCGACGTGGCGACCACTTAAACCACTACGACATCAATGTTTATTTATTTAATTTATAAACCAGTACTTGGAACTGTCTATGTAAATGATATATACGAGTAGTTAATATGAAGAGCACCACAAAGACAACACCAATAATCGTAAATTCACATTTTTCGTTTTAAAATCAGTATTCTAATCTTACACGAAGAATACACAACCACAATATTGTACCCCAATTAGGGTAATTGAATCTTTTCGGCGCAAATTTCATCACAGTATATGTCTGCTATTAAATATAACAATCCTGTCATTAATTTAATTGACGGCGTCAATCCTTTAATTCAAAATGTTCTGTTTTGGTAATTCATTTCGCGAATTACATCATTTAGCTAAACAAAAAACTGAAAATGGTTCTGTCTAAATAGAAATGGTTTTGAGAGTAATCGAGGCGTTTAATTTTGAAACGAAATCCGTGTAATCTGCAATAAAATGCTCAACCATCTTTGTTTATTTAGCCTTGGAACTGATTGTCCTAAATTACATTATTTTTCAATGTATTATTTCTTTATGGAATTAAATTAATAAGGAAATGTACAAAATGTTAGATGTTTTTAACTTTTTTGACTTTTGAGTCTTTTTTTATAAAGACAACTCCCACACAAGGAATAAATCCTGTGTCGCGGGGACTTCACAAACATACATGAAACGGACACTAAGAACACCCCAGTCCCATGTGAGGTTTAAACCAACAACACTCGGTGCAGCAGGAAGCGGCGTTTCGACCGCTTAAACCATTACGCCATCCGAGCAGTCAGTGTGTCTATCTGCGTCATTTAGCTTCCAAACGAATGGACCAATTTTAATGGGCTTTATATTTTTTGATTTGCAGAGCGAGATGGTTCTTATCTCTAATTTATAAACATCAGTTGACGAGATTAGGTTTTGATGCATGCATGTAGTTAATATCTCAACATTTTTACAGTATATTTACTAAAGTAGTTTTGATGAAAATCAATTTTCTAAACATAGTGATGAAAAAATGATTTTGACTTTAGCATTAATAATTAATTCAATTTTGCAGAACACGTTCCATTATAATTTTTGTTTTTTAAGTTAGAGGGGGCAGACGAGCAGTTTACTTTTATTGGACCACTTTTACTATTGATATTGATGCCATCTATCGAGTTAGAAGACAATAGGTGTGGTGCTCCTGTATCAATAAGTTGACCGCAGATATTTTCACTTTATTATTTTTTGCGGATCTAAAAATGAAAATATCTTTAAATTAGTTTAAAATATTTTAAATATACAATAATATGTCTCAACTAATTATAGTATCTATACACATGTATGATAATATAATAAACATCATCAACAGCCCATAATAGTCCACTGCTCCACATACGCCTCTCCATAGAAAGGAGGTTTTGGCCCACGCTGGCTAGTCGGGTTGGTATAAGGATTGTGTCAAGTTTTCCTTATCTTCGCAGTGCTTTAAGTTGTCACACAAAGTGTCGGCTTAGGCGGCTCTTACGACACCCATAGGATGAATAGGGGTTGTGACACACCGTATTCATAATCCATCACCACACAGATAGTATGACGACCATTAATATGATCAAGTTTTTTTTTTAACTTTTATATGTAGAACAAAGTATAATTTGATACTTGCCTTTATGTCTTTATTTCTTAAAATTTCAACTGTTTTGATAAATAATATAAACTTAAGTTCTAAAACGTAGGCTCTGGCTTTTATAAACATTTCTTATTTAATAATAAACGTGGCCTTTTACCTTAATAGAAAGCATATCATCAAAAACGTGCATTTAGGTTAATTCGATACCTTACCCAGGTTAATGTAATCGATTTGAAGAAGTGTAGGTGCGTATAATTATATTATTTAGGTAGGTTCGGGTATATAATACTGTTGATGTTGACCTATTGAAGTGCTAGGTATAAAGCAGTAATAAAATATATATACGTGTTTGTCTTTCGGGAAAAACAAAAGGATATTTTGTTAATTACCAAAGTGTCTGCCGCGTCATGTTTCCTATGCACCTATATTCAGGTTTTGCTAAACAATTATTTCAGGCAGAGTTTTTTTATATTTTTTTTCACATACACAATAAAATACACAAGTTATTTGCAAACCTTAAATAAACATCATCAACTTATCGGCGTCCACTGCTGAACGAAGTCCTTGCTCAAGGAGTGGCAACTATCTCGGTCTTGGACAGTCAGCATCCATCTCAACAATACGCAATCAACATTTTGTTGCTGATACGCGCACTATACTGTGTTGTTAATTACTTGTACATTTCTATTCACTCTATCGCTGGGCTGCTGGGCTGAATAAAACTACGAATCTACACAGGGTCACGGCGGGTATTCATGGGTTTTTCTCGGGTTTTTCTCAAAACAGTTCCAGAATGTCCATTAAAGATTTCCCAAAAAATATTGTAAAAATCGGACTGACTCGATGTCCTTCTGGCAACTTCTATAACAACGTGATATTTTCTGGAATGATCCAGCTTTTTCTGGAAAATTCTTTTAGTAAAATATGTTTCTATTTGGTTAATATTCACGTAGGAAGTTAGGATAACTAGAATTATTCTGGATTCGAATTTCTTTTTAAGGTTCAAAATGGGTTGTGGGTCATCTGGAACTGTCGCTGCCGTGACTGAGGATATGACCAATGGTGTGACAAAAGCACCTAACGGCGCTGGACTGAACGGTCATCATCACGATGATAGTGATGACCTGCCTACAGTGGTGCTACCTGATACGCCTGTAAAGCCGAAACCTCGTAAGTTAATCAGATGTTAGTACTTACATTATATATTAATTCATGGTGATGTTATGTGTATTTGTTCTAGTTTTTTTTTACGTTAGAGGGGGCAGACGAGCACACGGCTCACCTGATTGAAATTGACAATCGCCGCCCATGAACGTCTGCAACTGAGGAGTCACAAACGCGTTGCCGGCCTTTTAGGAAGGAGTACGTTCTTTTCTTGAAGGTTTGAAGGTCGTATCGGTCCGAAAATACTGCAGACGATAACCCGTTCACAGATTGCTTGTGCGGGTTTTTGATTGTTTTCTATTGTTTTATAAATATAAGGATGGTATGAATACTACAAATCTACATAAAATACAATAGTCTTGCTTGATTAGTATCATCTGGAACCTAATTGACCAGGGTGCGAATCTTGATCAATACGTCACTATTTTCTTAACGTGAATGAACCATAAAATAGTCATATAACCCGATCATAAAACCAATGATATACATCATTATAACCCGATCAGATGATAATAATTATAAAAATGATATTTTATTTACACATCATGCACGCTTACTGTCTAAGGCATTCTCTACCAGAAAATCATATTATCCACGTTCCCATCACAAAGCTTGATGACCCCCACACTGATGAACGACAAAACTCGAAGGTGTTTATGCGGCATCTTACTGTTTAACCTGTGTGCGTTATTTTGTAACAATAAATAAAAAATCTAAAAAAAAAACAGCACCGCACGTTGATTGTCATCTTCTATAGTCAGTTCTTTAGTAATATATACTGAACTATATAAATAAACCAACTTACTGTACGTTATAAAGGTAATATTTAAATAAATACATTAGCGGTTTTCACGACACCAGTTCGAGTTATAGTATGGTAGTTAGAGGTTATGCGAACCTAACGCATTGAAGCTGTTTCTTACATATCCCAATCCATCTGAACTGGGCCTCAATTCTGCTATTTTAATATTATATCAATAGACTGTCAATGGAATGTCGTCGAAATAGTTTTGAGCTTTTCCTATTCCACTAACTATGTAAGACCAAATGCCTCCCGATGACTTGTCACTGAGACAAATGTCGTCGATGTCTTTGTAACAGTTTGGTACACGGTACATTTTAAATTCCGCACAGGAAAAAAAATTGTTTTACTATATCGATAGAGTGTTGACACTGTGAATTTATGTTAGTAGAATACCGATATTTTGACCGAAGTCAATGGCATCTCAATGGCATCTCAATAGCGTGTCAATGGAATGACAGTGGCTTGGCGTTAACATAAAGTAGCAGAATTGATGCCTGGTAATATCCATACCATTGTCTTCCTACTTTTCATTTCTTATTAGACTCTCAATTTACCCATATAATTCTTAAAGTGCAATAGGCTTGCTTTCTATGTACGTCCATTAGCTTAAAGAGCTACTAAAGTATGCTTTAATGCAAAATAATATGGTTCAATACAGGTCCAACCACATGCTCCGATAATTCCCTTTTAGTGTCAGACTACAGAACTAATTAAGTAAGCTGTGTGCAACCACGCTATGCTCTGTTCATTAACAGTGAAATCAATAATATAATCGTACATGCTTAGTATAATTAGAAATGTATCGATTGTGAACAACGTGACATTTTCACGTTTCATCAAGGTTTATAACGTATGTTGTTTTGGAAAACATCAATGAAAACATCACGGTGGAAAATATCAATGAATATTAGCTTTGTTCTTTGAAAGATTGTTGTGGCTTTGCTTGCATTGATGTTGAATTTATCAATGAAGTTTCTCTCTGTGGTATTCCAGACAATAAACTATCTCTGTGTCAAATTTCATCTCTTACTCAGCTTTCTCAGCTTTTCTGGCGTGATTGCAAACATCCACACACCCACCCTTTTTTTTTTCCGTGCGGAAATCCCCTCGGATACCACCTATCGGTGGCATGTCGGACTCGAACCGACTAAAACCGCACGCCGTCTCGGGTACTAATAGCCGGGGAAACAGGTATACCCTAGAAAGGAAGTCCCTGGTACCCACACACCCACCCTAACAATATTTCGCGTTTATAATATTAATAGTACTAATTAATTATGATGCAAACCCAAGATTATAGTTCAGTAATGGAAAGTTTACATAGTAGTTATTGTCAACGAAATTTCAATGCGCCATCCAGCACTAGTAATTACTATACAGTTCGGCTTACCACCGCTAGATGGCACTCAACTATAATTTGCCTTATGTGGACGTCCCTGTAATTAAATCAGGACGGGAACTTAATTGCGCCGTGTTGATATTTGGGATAATAGTTACTAAATGACAAATTTTGCTTATCCTGTACATCACTACCTATTCCTATTTACTACTGGTCTACTAAATTATACGATTACTTAATAGCAGGGGAGTCCTAGAAGGCATTTTGGGATTTAGTCGAGCGTGGCAGTATAACATAAGGAGGAATACCTTACACCCAGTTGAGTACCCCCACCATACATGAGCCCTAGTCAAAAATCATTGAAATTATCTACCGGAAAATTTATGTTTTTTTTTCCATTTTTCTGGTTAAAAATGATGAAAAATGATATCACAATAAGTAGACAGAACATCTTACCGAAAACAATTTGATAAATACCAATAAACTGCAATGTCATTAATCAAACAGCAGAAGCGCGCTGGGCCCATTTTGTGTTAGTGTGCGTAGTCTGTTTGCACGGACCACACATGTAGTTATTACTTTTGTGCGATACCTACGGGGAATGACCGTAACCTTTGACAGCTGATTGCATAAAAAGTTTAATTTGCCGGCAAAAAATTCCAATGATTTTCGACTCAGAATGATGGTCTGAATACACTATTTCAGTATTCGTTACGATGTCCCTTACACCGTGTATATATAAAGATAATAAGGTAAAATTCCCGGAGTTTATGTTACTTTTTTATATAAAGAACTTCTATGTTAGGCAATTATAGGTTGACCAAAAAATAAACTAATAATAAAACTCTACACCCCTCTTGTTATCTTTTTGAATCTTAATGCCATTTGAAATTATTTCCTTTAAATTTTTGCCTTCCAACGAAGGGACTAACACAGTTAGTGCCGTCTTTTTACCTATTATTATATACGTAATACAAAAAATATACTGTGTAGAAATAGAAATAATATTTTTAATTCATTTAAAATATTGTCCACAGCTGTAGCATTCGAGATCCCTTTAGAAGAGTTCGATGGTCCTAAGCGACAGATGACGCCACCAGCTCACTTGCAGAGGTTGCTTCAAGCTCCTCAACCTGACCTCAGCCTGCCTGACATTGAGGAAAAGTTGGCTGAAGCTGAGCAGAGGAGGCTATCTGTAAGTTTGCGAGAAAATCTTTTTACTATGAACAAAAGGCCAGTGTTTAATAAACTGTATGCTTTATTTATTTTACAACCTTGGTGACATTTTTAGTGCAAGTTTAACTTGGATCGAAAGGCGATTATACCCTCACAAAATAAAAATAAAAATTACCAAATGTACCTTAGTTCCTTTAATTACTATAGTATATTCATTAGTACATATTATATTAGGTATAATATACTCGTATACACGTAAATATAAATATCAAAATCAAACCGTTCTGCTAACTCATTTTAAAGATCCTAATTTCGACATTCTTGGAAGCGTGTTTCAGAGAAAAAACTGATTGTATAGTTCCTATTATTTTTATTTAAACGGGTGGGTAAACATTAAACGTAATTAACACATTCGTAAACGATGCATTGTTAAGATTTATATCCCAGAAATGTTTTAAGCCTTTTCAAACCTCTTTATACACAGCTTTTTGACCTGTAACCCAACTCTTTCTTCCTCATTTCGCTCCTTAAAATAAAGCGCCATATATAAAATTCGCATCACATTTGTGGAACAAACACACATTTTTGTAAAATCCATTACCGACGATGGTTGCGTAATGATATGCTGTGAATGGAATGCTCTTGACGGTAGCAGTGGCATGAAAAGGCTTTCACAAGTAAGCATATTCTTTTTGTTTTTTTATATACTTACGCCAGTTTATCTGAAAAGGGTAGACAGAGGTATATGTTATACACTTTATCAGTTTCATTGTTGCGACCCATAAAGAAGATAACAAGCCTAGTGTTGTGTGCTTTTCAAGACACTTTTTGCCTCGCACTACCAATCTGTGGAACAAGTTATCGGCTGCGGTATTTCCGAATCAATACGGCCTTCAAACCTTCAAGAAAAAATAAAATAAAAATAGTATTACTCCGATAAGTTTCTATAAAATGAACTGCTACTGAAAAACCAAAAACATAATATTAATTTATACTAAAAACTTTACATATCTTACACAGGGTTATCTGATTTCAAAAAAGGTAGAACCTATACCAGGTATCATGGTAACCAGACTGTTGATAAATATACTTACACATTTCTTATCATATTACAGAAAAAAATATGTATCTACATTCAGACACAGGCCAAACGATCGTGGGTCCGTGGGTCGTATAGATAGTTCAACTCAGTTGTGCGCGCGGCCCTATGTGTGCGTGGGCTTGTAAATATACAACTTTCATTCGTGTGGCAATGACGCGGCAGTCGGACGACGACTGCCACACAAATGAAAGTTGTATATTTACAAGCCTACGCACACATAGGGCCGCGCGCACAACTGAGTTGAACTATCTATAATGGGTCGATAAACAAATGAAACCCACGTCCACTTAACACTACACTAACAGGCCAGTGAACGTGACGAACAGTGAAAGTGAAAACACTTAATAACATATTGCAAGTTCACCAGGTAACCAGGAAACTTTTAATTATGATTTTAATATATTAGGTATACTTAAAATCTACTTTTAAACTTAAGGCGCTCTTGCAGCGCGGTGTGTAGGTGTCCAAACATTACCTCACCCCCCGCTAACGTATCGTACGCAAAGACGCAGCATGTCAAAAAGCTGCGCGAGTCGGCTGCGCGCCATTCAAAGTTACGTCCATATATTGTGCCACAGTGTAGCGTACTCGTAATGCAGTAGTTAGAAAAGAATATCATGTTTGACGTATATAATTCTAATTGACTTTAGCACTTTTAAACTTTTGCTATTCACCTGTGTGTTGGCTTTCTACTAAAAGAGGTATACACGAAATTAAAAAAATATTGGAATTAAATGACCGTTTAAACAGGCGAACTAAGGTTTATTAATTATTAGTTATAGGATATTAGAGAGAGAAAGAAATTTTTTTTTTTTTTGTGTGGAAATCCCCTCGGACCGTCACCCCACCGGGGTTTGCGGCGGGGTGGTGTGTCGGACTCGAACCGACTAAAACCACACGGTGTGCCCTCTTTGCGCTTCCAGTTTAGGAGGGGTCCAGGTAGTTATCGCCTTCTGGACCCCTCCCAGCGCCGGCCCGCTCATGGTGCGGGCTCCGTCTCCAATTTTCCTCTCTTTAGGCGACGTCCGGCACACGCGGACGCCGCCCCCTCGCGGCTGGCCAACTAATGCGGGTGGAGGGGAGAACCCATCGAGTCCACCCGCGGCCACACTCAGGGCGGCATGAGGCGCAGGTAAGCGCGCCTCCGCCGCCCGGTTCGCCGGCGGCGGATCAGGTCCGAGTGGAGGTCGTCCTCCCGGGCCTTCTCCGCCGCCTCCTTCTGCGAGATTACCTCCTCGCAGAAGGTTGCGACCGCGGTAAAACAACTGTCGCTACCGGCCATGGAGCGAATTACGGCCGGTAGCGAGAGATCTGCTCCGATGACTGCAGTGAGGGCCCGGCGCTGCGTCGCCCATGCGGGGCAAACCGCCAGCTTGAGCTGGGCCGAATCCTCACTGCAGTCGCAGTGGTGGCAGGCGGGACTCGATTCCCTCCTAGCGACCGAGTACAGGTACTTTCCGAAGCAACCGTGCCCGGAAAGCACCTGCGTCAGCCGGAAGGAAAGGGTCCCGTGCTGCCACCCTGCCCACTCGGCGATGACCGGCTGGAGAGCCTCCACGGCGGCGAAACCAGCGCGTGGAGTCTCCAGCCGGAACGACCATCTCACCATGGTGGCTCGGCGAGCGGCTTCGCGCCACTCGCGCACGTCTTCGGGCGGAGGGCGAAATCCGCTCTCCGCCCGGAAGTCAGCCACTCGCCAATAAACTTCGGCGAGCACTTCCGCCTCCAAATCCCATGGGGGTGTTCCGGCCAAGGCACGGGCCGCCTCGGTGGACACCGTGCGGTATCCGCGTATGGCTCTGACCACCAATATCCTCTGGGGGCGTCAGAGGCGCGCCCTATTCGGGGCGGTCAGAGCCGCCACCCACACCGGTGCACCATAAAGCGCCATTTGACACAAACCCTATACCAACCCGTCTGGCCAGCGTGGTGTAGTAGGCCAAAACCTCCTTTCTAAGGAGAGGCTTATGTCCAGCAGTGGACTATTAAAGGCTGTTGATGATGATAGGATATTAGGTCATTACTTCTTACATATATAATTTGTTTACTCAAAATCTCATAAACAATAGATGTTTTTGAAAAGAAAACTTCTTTAGCGGCGTAGTACACTTTTTTGGTAATGGGTAATAAATGTTAAACTCGCGTCAGGACACGTGACCTGATCGAAAATTCGTTCTTAAATTGGTTCTATCAATTTCATACATATATAATTATTAATATTTCGCTTTCTATTTCAAAGATAATTTCAAAAAATTAGTGTACCGTATAATATTAGTGTCAGAAACACTCGGAATTTAAGCGTATGTTTTCTTTTCCTGAGGTTAAAAATATGTTTCGGATTGGCATGCCACGCGTGTGCCTTGGGTCAACCAATTCCGGCAGTAAGCAGGTCAAATAAAATTGAACCAACCTTGGTTCCATTTTTTCTTTTCAGAATTCGTCGTCTTTTTCAATATATTGTATGAACACTGGTTCATATTATGATACCCACAAATCAAAAAGACATTTTCAATGGCCTGTGACATGTAACTGACCTTGAATTTGATGAAACCAGTTTTCGTTTTTTTTTGTAGCGGAGCAGCTGAATTTTATTATTTTCTAGGGCTTGCTGCAATTCTTCTTTGGCAGCAACTAATGAGCATTTCACTTCAACCAACATATCATTCCCAATCAAGCCATCAGGTGTAGCTCTAATAAATGGGTATTGCTTATCAATAAAAGTCCACATGCTTAAATTTTCCATTGGTTTTCTTGCTGAATTTGTTGTATGGCTTGCTTTTCATTTTCAATTCCATGAGCTACCGAGGTCTCTTGCGACAAATTCTTTTTGTACAAAATATTTTTTTCCAAAGAAGATGTATCCGTAGAGGGTTTCTTCTTGCAAATATTTTCTAAATTCGAAGCTGTTATTTTTTTTTCTTATTTCAAGCCACTCACTCGAGTCCCTTTGTAGGACGATCGATCTTTCAATATGATCTATGTCTGCTGTAAGATTGATTAATTTGTTTAAATAACTAGCTTTCCTTCGCTCCAAATCACACATTGACATATCTGGTGCCGACCTAGCTTGACCATAGTCGTGCTATAGGTCGTTATTAGCGTTTTGAAATCTACGTATCTTATTTACTGGATGTTCCAAATCCAATTTACGTTTATGGGCCCTTTTTTTTCGATGTACTTTAAAACTCTTCTTGTAGGACTTCTATTTAACATTTTTTTTTGCTCAGCTGAAATGGCGGCATTCCTGATAAAAGATACGACTGCTGCTGCACATCTTCCTTGGTACCCACATCTGAGAGCAACATTAATTCTTTTCCCATCGACAAATTTAGCTATAACATTATTAAATCTTTTGACCGTGTCGGTTTCAACATTTTCAATCAAACTTCTTGATTTCCCAGCCACAGTTGCAACAATGGCATTCAGTATAAATAAAAATGTACTATTCCGTTTTTGCCTAATGTCACCTTTTACTCCATCGTGCCCACAGTTGTAATCATGGCACATTCTATGATCTCCGTAAGCTTATTCAACTGAATATGTTATATCTTTAAGAAGTACCGAGACGGCATCGTTTTTCGGAACATCAGACTGGTGGTGATATTTTTTCTACCGAATAATTAATTTTCTCAGAGCCATTATTTATTGGTTCCTTAAAGTTTTTCTATACAACTAGAAAAAATGTATCTCTTTGGCAAGGTTCCGCTTCTTTTTACAAAAATTTCGTAAAATATGATTGGGAAAATCTATTTTTCAGTCAAATTCTGTGTTTTGTAGGGTTCTGTATTTTTTCAACAGTCAAATTCTGTGTTTGTTTTCACCTTTAAAATTTTAACATATGTGGAAGATTCACCATCTGCTATAAGTCTTTGATATATTACTCCGTACATAGCAACAGATGTTTTAAAACCCTCCGC